CAGATATTTATGATAATGTCAGCTAAAATACATATCACCTGTACCCATACACACATAAATCCATCTGTATATACACAAACACAGGCCCACAAAGGAAGATAGGGCTGCACACCGGCACTGCTGCCTGTCCCATTGCTCCTGATCTCTCATTTAACTGGCAGCAAAGCATGAAGTAACAAACTACCACTGTGCTGAGTGAGCCCTCAGAAAAACAAAAACAAAAAAAAAGACAAGAAAGTTGCACTTCCAGATCTGGTATCAGAAGACAGCAGAGGAATTTGAAAAAGGTGCGGATTTGTTGTAGAGGTGAAGAAAATCTAAGAATATAAATCGTTTTGAACTCCAGTAGAATTCTAAAAGCAGATCAATGCTGGTAGGGAAAAAAAAAAAAAAAAAAAAAAAAAAAAAAAAACAACAAATGAACTCATAGCAAACATACAAAGCACTTAACACGGTGAGAATAATGCTTTGCATGCTTAAAAGTGGGATGCGATCATCAGCTGAGCTCATCGGCTGGGCTTGCTCACTGTGAACTTTCCTCCCAATGCAAGCCTAGAAAAGCCTGTGAAGGCACACGTGTTCCCACAAAACCCCAGAACTGCTCTATCTGACAAAGCTGCCTTATTTTCCTCAAATATTCAGAAAAGTCTGAAAATCCTTTCCTTAATAGAATTGCTAAGGAAAAACCACTAACATCCTCAAATCCAACCATCAAGCCATGCCTATGACCACTTAGCCCAGCCCATGTCCCTGCGTGCTACATCCACCCATTCCTTGAAAACCTCCTGGACAGTGACTCCACAATGTGCATGAACAGCCTGTACCAAACACCTCAACACTCCTTCTGAGAAGAAATTTTTCCTAATATCCAACCTTTCCTAACACCCGTGTGCAACAAACTACCTAAAATAATTTAACTGTATTAATTCCTTAGTAAAATTATCACCTAGGATTAACCAGAGGGCACTGACTGCCGGTGAGAATGCATTAGTTTGTGAATGGTTTGCTAGGGACGCTGAGGCAAAGGGCAACTGCTGATCCCATTTATTAATCAGACCAATGGCTCATAGTAAAAATTGAAATCCGTCTCCAGTGCTGGCATACATGGGAAAAGCTCACTCACGTTTGTTTTATTTCAAGCAAAACCAACAGTAGCTCCCTTTGTTTGTTTGTTCCCACCCCCTCCCCAAACCAGACAGCATGTGGCTTACGAGCACCCCTGACAGACGCAATAAAACCCCTGCCAGACCTGATTGATGGCTGTACTAGGAGCTGCAGCGAAGGTCACACTGTGTTCTCTATTTGCAGCTGCTCCTGGGAAGAAATGCTGAAGCAAAATAAAATCTGGACCTGCTCAATGCTAATAATGGGGGAATTCCTTCCTTACCTTCCCTTATCTTCTGCTCCATGTTTGGACAGCAGCAATGCCATAAGCAAGTGCATCCAAGGAGGGAGCAGGTAAGTTTGAAAAAGATACTTAAGCACTTGAAAGAAGAAAAAAGATCCACCCACAGCAACCAAATATTGAGCCTTCATATACTGGAGGGCAGTTTATAACAGTAGTTGAGCATGAAAGAAGCATATTAAAGAGCTTTTGCTATTTGCTTCTCTGCAGAACTGAGATAACAGTACATGCTCTCTGTGTAAGAGTGCTGTCCCTGATAATGTGAATCCAAGAATTAAGCCACTTTCCCAAAATCTCTTTATTTTAGATGAACTAAGCAAACATGCTCACTGAAAGTGGCTACCAGCACAGACTGAATTCAGTGAGACAGAACATCAACCAGTGATGTAGAAGGACCCAAGATCTTGTTTTCCATAAGTGTTTGGAAGTGGTTAGGAAAGTGATAAGAGACTTTGGGGATTTCACGAACATGATATGATGACAGTCCCCTAATGAATAATATATATTCAGTCCAACTCATGGCAATTATCTCGCATACACAAAGTGCTGTGCTTCATGGGGGTAAAAACCTGTTATCTTTGACACATCAGCTAGATTGCAGATTGAATCTGAAATCACTTGAGCACATTTTTCCTGGCACTTATTAATGGAAGGCTACATACTTAGTCAGCATTTTGTCAAGATTTTGGCTCAATAGAGACACAACCAACAACTGTCCTCCAAAGAGACAGCTATTAGCACTCAGCTCAAAAATACATGAGGGCAGAGAGATGCTGGCATCAGAAAACCCCAGATACTAAAAAAGAAAACCCATCCACTACCATCATCACAAGAAGAATAATGCAGTGATTTTTTAAAAATATTTCTCTTACAGTTTAGGAAAAAGGCTATATAAGAACTATCCTATGCAATTCTTGTTACTTTATTGACAAGCATACACTGACTTCTAAGACACCACTACATCTATACAAAAACAAACCTATAAAACATCCTCTTAGAAATTTCATTCCCAGATTTGTTGATAGTGTTAAAAAACAGATGTTGATTCACCCTTCGCTCATTGTACTCTCCTAGGGATGCTCTATGAGGGATATGATCACTGTTAGCTCAGAATGTCAGTGTTCTGTCAAAGGTACTCAGGAGCTCAAACAGCCAAATCTCACTACTCAGTACTGCTCATTTGTATGCCATGAGCATAAAGACAGCTTAACAGTGTAACAGGAAGGGATGAATGATTTTTCAAGAGTTGATACAGAGAGCTTCAGTCTGAGTAAAGCCACAATAATACCGTTAACTGTATATGAGTTCGGACACTAAGTCCTTGCATGCTACCTGAACGACAGAGATCTCTCGCAAATGAATACAGAGCACATCCATTCTTCCTCCTCATCCCACCCACACCACACAAAGAGCCCAGCCTTGAACAAAGCACTTAACCAAGCGGGCCCCCATTAACAGGGCTCATTGACAGAGGTATCAGATATGAAACTTTTGAAAATGGGCGGAAATTAAATTGGCTGACTCAAATGCTGCACAAAGCAGCATGGAAACACCGGCTCTTTGTCCCAAGGCAATGTCTCGGAGAAGTCTGCAGAGAGCAGCTGGGCAAGACAAACCCTGCTTTGACCTTACCGCAGGTTGCTTTTGCACCGTTGAAAGGAACACCACAATTAGTCACATGTGTGTGAAATTACGACCCCAGAGACCTTTCCAATCCTTGTATCTGCAGATCCACCTGCAAGCCAGGAACAGAATGCAACACTTGGAATTTTGCTGGCATATTTCCTGGGAAACACTGAGCAATTCTGCACTTCGCTGAAGGCAGGGGATGTCTGCTCATTGTTTTGTGAGCAGCCTTGTCACTGTGATCACAGTGTGTTCAGACACACAAAGAAAACTGAGGATCCTTTTTTTCCAGAATCCATATCAAATTCTTCTGAGCCCCATCTGGTGCCCTACAGCCCCAGAAAGGCAGCACTGCTCTCCCTCCAGCTCTTATGCAGAATTCGGTCTTGCTCCACCCCAGTACCAAAAGGAACTGTTCGAAAGTAATGGAGCAGCTCTTCCCGTAGAGACCACCAGGAGGCATGAGGGTGACTGAAGGGCACTGAGTGCCCATAAAAGAGCGTGTTGATGGATGGGTGCATCTGGTTGCCAAGCTGCTCCTTGTACCCCCACCTCAGCCCTTCCTGGGCAATCAGAAAAGGAGCCCTCCATAAAAGTGCCATTTCCCTGCAGGAAATGGATGGTCCTGTAACACTCAGAGCAAATGGTGAGAGCACCTGTAAGGGTGATACCACACTTGGGGTAAACACCTCTGAGAACCAAACTGAGCTGTGCCATGACAGTTCAACCTCCGGGACAAAACAAAGAACTGCACAAAGAACAAAAGAACTGCAAGGCAAGGAAGCTCTGGATTGCTGTACAACATCTAATCAGATCTTGCTTGCTTTGAGACCTATTACAAACAGATCTTAGCTGAAAAGATCAATCCTTACACAAGTCTGACACATAAACAGGCACAAACACAGCAAGCATCAGGTGCATCAAAGTACTGGTATAGCATTCATAGGTGAGATCAGCTAAACACCTTTCAGTTCCTGACATTTGGCCTGCCTGGCCTTTGGGACATGGGCACTCATTCATCTGCTCCGTGATTCTGGGCACATGGATACCACGCTTTTGGAAGATGCCCCTCTGAATCCACTAATTCCTGTGATTCCAGAGCTCCTCATATGTAAAGCAACATTTGTTCAGCTGCGTATTCAGCTCTCTATGGCCACTGATTGTTTTCCTATGCTCTCTATCTTTGCTAAGTTTCCTATATTGCCCCCGCACACATCCACACCAAGAACCGACCAAGTTAAAATCGAGTTTCCAAAAAAAACCTCTCAGTGGAAGAAATCAAAATACGTCGCTGTGAACTGAGCAGCCTTCTACCAATCACACGCTGCTTTTTAGTTTTAACCTTTCTGTTAAACAGGAAATAAAAAGGAGGGGGTCAGATGGAGAAGCCAATGGGATAGATCTGGAAGGATGGTTCTTTTTGCCTTTGCCCTTAGTGAATCCAAGACTGTAACATGATGCAATCTCTCTGCTATGATGAAACAAGTTCAAATGGCAAAGTCTGGAGAGAGACCACCTTTTCCTACCCTAAAAGGCAGAAAATGACGAAACTCTAGCTCTGTAAAGCGGCAGCTCTCCCGGCAGTCAGGCTGCTGCCTCTCCCCAGGAAGGGATGTCGCTTTCGGTACCGCAGACGCCGGGATTCCCCAGGGAATCTCTGCCGAGTTTTCGGTCTCCCGAAGCCCAACGAGGACGGCTCAGGGCGGCGACGCGGGGCCCGGCGAGCAGCCGCCGCCGGATGCTAGGGCTCGCTCACAGCATTTTCCACGTGCACCTCCCGGCCAAGAAACGGAACGAGACTTCGTGCCGTTTGTCCGCCCCTGGGCTGGAATGCTTTCCAGCAAGCAGAACCTCGACAGAAAAATCCCTTGTCTCCCCCTAACCCTTTTCCTCCCTCACCGCCCGCCGAGCTCTGCGGTGAGATGCTAATCCGGAGCGAGAAGGGACGGAGCGGGCGGAGCCCTCCTACCTGCGGGCCGTCCTGCTGCGACCGCGGGCACAAAGCAAAGTCCGCGCTGCGCACAGCCGCGCAGCTCAGCCAGCAGCGCGCAGACAGCGCCGCGCCAGGAGCAGGGGGCGGGCAGGGGCGGCGCAGCGCGGCGCGGCGGGGCGGGGCCGGGGCGGAGCCTGAGGGACAAAGCGGCCTCGGGCACGGGGTGGGGTGGCAGCCCGTGGGCAGGTGTGTCCCGTAAGGAGTGCCTGTGCATCTGTTATGGATGATTCTTTTTTTTTCCTTTCTCTCTATTTTTTATAAGATCGTAATTGGAGCTTCCACACACGACTTTCTCTCATTTAGGTTCAGGAGATGTTGTCAGTCCAACATTCAGCTCTGCACAAATATGCAGTGTGTCACTGTTTGTCCGAAGTCAAGATGTAAGTCCTCTAGTTAAAATGGTATAAAATCATGCTCATTTATGAAATGGATTGAACTGGATTCTGCCATCTAAGCCCTGGTGAGGTGGCACCTCAAGTACTGTGTTCATTTTTGGGCCCCCACTAATAGACATTGAGGTCCTGGAGCGTGTCCAGAGAAAGGCAACAAAGCTGTGGAGAGTCTGGAGCACAAGTCTTACAGGGAGAGTCTGAGGGAAATGGGATTATTTAGTCTGAATCAGAGGATGCTCGGGGAAGACCTTATCACTCCCTATGACTCCCTGAGAAGAGGTTGTGGCGAGGTGGGAGTTGGCCTTTTCTCCCAAGTAAGACTGATGGGAGATAATGATCTCAAGTTGCACCAGGGAGATTCAGGTTGGATATTAGGAAAAACTTCTTGGGAAAAGTGTTTGGGCACTGGAATGGGCTGCCCAGGAAGGTGATGGGGACAGTGTCCCTGGAGGTTTTCATGAAGTGTGTAGATGTGGTACTTTGGAACATGGTTTTGTGGGCAGTATTGGTGATAGGCACATGGTTGCACTAGATGATCTTAGAGGCCTTTTCCAACCTTAATGATTCTATCTCTACCATTCTAAGTTTAGCTTGACATAAGCCAGATGTTAATCAAAGGCATTATATTGATTAAAGTTTATATTTCAAGTTTCCTTGGGAAGCTGAAAGCAGGCGTCAGCATTTAGTAGTGTTGCAGGTGAATCCCGTGCAAAACTTGCACAAGGTGGATAATTGCATTCCAACTTTGACAAGCTCGTATTTTTATCGTCTTCTCTTTCCATAAAGAAACTGGAAACCTAAGGTCACAGAGGAATGCTACTAAAGAAAAAGCTTTGATTTTTTCATCTTTAATCCCACTAGGTTTAAGAACATGTTTTACTTTGCCTCACTTTAACAGTTGGATATACAAATGTTCTCTTGTAATGAGCATTGTGGAACATGCTACATGCAACTTCATCCTTCTGTTCATAAGCTTGTAGCTTATGTTGTTGTGCATCTCAGAGTGTACAGCTCATTAAGAGTTTTTAAATTTGGTGAATAAAAGTCTGTGTGATCCTGCCAAATTTTCTGTGGTCTTCTGTCCTATCATCCTCATTCACTACAATAGGGTGATACCCAGAATAACAGTCTAAATCAGGGAAAATTCTAGTTATTTTGTATTTGCATTGCAGTACTAGCACCAGCTCTGTAGCCTAAAACTGGAGTGCTAAATTCACAACCCAGTCTTGTCTGGACGACCAAATCTCACCTCTGTCTGTTCTCTTTCTTGCCTTTGGGTATGGGCAGGGAACGACTGGGTGAGCCCTTCCAGCAGCAGCATGCTGCTATCTGCCTGTTTTCATTATGCTTTTATCATTACACTAGGAGCTGGCAGGAAGAGCTTTGGAGCACTCAGAAGCAGTGATTTTTCTGGCAGTGTTAAAGGGCTTAGTCAGCCTTGAAAAATTAAACCATAACACCTCTTCTCCACAGTTCAATTGCTTTCAGCTATTGTTAAGCTACTTGATCGGTATCAGGACCTGTAAAACATGATAGTGAGTAGAAGCAGCCCAAAAGATTTCTCTGGAAAATTCAGAATAGCTCTTGGCTGCTCTGGCACACACAGTGTAATCCATGCACAGTGCCACTGATTCATATACTTGCAGCAAGCACTTCCAGGATGTGTTTTAGTGCTTACATTACATTAAGTAATATTTCCATTCATAGCCTCTGCCTAAGTCGTGTGACCCCTCTGCAGACTTAAGAGCTCCACTGCAGTACAGCTGAGAAGGAATATCGAACAAGATAGGAAAAGAAGTGTGTCATGCTGATGAGATAGCCCCATGCTGATGAGATAGCAAGCTGTTGGTCCTCAGGCTGTTGGTGAAACTGGTGAGTACTTCTAGCCTTCTGGGAAGTTACTCCATCAGGACAAAAGAAGGGAATGCGTGTCATGGCAATGAGCACCAGACAGCAAAATGATTCCTTCCGGAGGAAAACTTCCCTTAAAGCTGAACTGCTCCAACTAACTTTGTCTTATTTGCATTCTTGCTTTCTACAATAAATTATTTTGAAGTGACACTTTTTCCCCAAATCTGTCTATGTTATTCTGTGAACTGCTAAGTAGACCTTAGAAATTCACTGTATTTCTTACCTATGAGTCGTTAATGACACAAAATCTATTTTATACAATTAAAAGGAACAGTGTATAAATCGCATTGAGCACAACATGATTGAAATAAATCGATTACTGAGGAGTTTCTTGCATGGAAACAGTGTCACTCCATTAATCGGAAACCTGTGGTTCACAGTAACTGTATGTCATACACTGCACCCAATAAACTTCTTAAACTAATCATCTTCTAACACAAAGTTATTCAGGGTAAACATGTGCAAATCTTGCAGTTTGAAACAGACATCCCTGATGTTTGAAAAAGTGCCTTCTAGTTTTATATTACAAAACCAACAAGTTACAGGTTATAACAGACATCCATGTAATGCTCCAAATGCTTCTTTGTTCTCAGTAATTCACCCTAATTTTCTGCTCTATCAAGGGTAACTTTGTTACTGTAGAAACAGACTTTATCTTGTACATGACTTGATGAAGCCTAGTCACAGGGATGTCCTAATCTTGTAATCTTAACATGGGTTATCACAAAGAAAAGAATATAATCACAGCAAATAAAAAGAAACAATACCAGCAAGAAAGAAAGAAAGAAGGAAATAATTAGAATACTCCAGTCAGTAAAATATCTAAGTATAGCTGTTTACAAGATCAGAACTTCAACCGTCCCCAGATTGCTGAAGGAAGAAAGTTATTGCAATGACAGACCATATTTATTATCTTTAGGAGAGTTAGTTATTATGTATGTTTGAAGATTTGTTTCCCCTCAGATAATCAACATTGGATGAAATTGGAGGAGAACAGGCGTGATAAAAAAATCCCCTACCATTTGTTGAGATTTATGTCTTCTAAGAAACTCCAAGCAATTTGGATTTGGCTCACTTAAATAATGTAAAAAGGCAGGAAAACAGTACTTTAAGCATTCAAAAGCGTGTGTCAGTTTTCAAAGATACACAGTTCCCCTTCAAATATGCCTTGGATTGAGTCCATATCAGACAACTTAGTGATATAAGAGGCCCCAAAACCTCGGCAATGTCCTGGTGAAATAAACCATTCCATAAAAGCTATTGGATGATGTAAGCGATGAGCGGCACTCCCCAAAAGTCTGCTCAATACTTCTCAATAAGTTCTTTTAACAGCCTCCAAAAAAAAGCATGGTTTTGTCAGTATCTTAAAGTGAAATCAGAGCTGTAACAAACATCCTGTATGTTGGGTACCAGAAAGGCTGTCAACACAGTCAACCTGCTTCATTTCTTTTTCTTCTCCAAATAGACATACGAAAACTACAACTACAATGGCACTTCACCCAATGGCCACACTGCCCCATGCAGCATGCTGGTAAGTTATGGCTCTTTAGAACAGAATTCATCTTCTGTCACCTTGAAAGTGTGATTTTTTCCTTATAGCTGTTTCAGAGGCTTAAGACTTTCACAAATTAGGAAGGGAAAATTCTTGATAAAGTGTGATTTTTTTCTCTTCCCTTCCTCTTCATGTTCCATGATCCTGTTACTGCAGGTTCCATCCTTGTTAATACCAAAATATACAGCATCTTTCTAAAATTTCTAGATGTGTTTTTTTGAAGGAGATCTTCAATGAGTTGGGTTTTTTGGGGGTAATGCATATAAAAAAAAAAAAAAAAAAAAACTTTTACATATACTCTCAATATTTGTTTCAGGAATCTTGCTTAGCACTGAGTACATATGTGTCCCACGGGGATTATTGTATAGGTAATATTTCCTATTACAGAAATGCCATTTACCTTTCTGTAGACAGTAACATTTAAAAAGTGTGTATCACAGAAACTTCAAGAAGAGAGCAAACACAGCTGTCAGACAACACAGGTACTTCTCCCTAGGCTGTACACATGTAGGTCCTCTCCAGCGTAGAGAAATTATTTGCAACTGCTCACTCTTTACAGAGATGTAAAACCAATTATTGTCTTAATTTCACTGTTAACTGATTTTGAATCAAAGCGAATAGGGAGCACCTTAACAAGGGATGTACACTTTCTAGAATCTGAATGTGAACCTAAAAGCGGTTACTTCCCTTTAAAAACAATCCCCCCTGCTGATTCCAGCTTTTTGAAAAGCTCTGTATAACCTGACCTTTGCAGTTCTGTGCACATCAGACTTCCACTGATTTTAGTGGGCTTATGATTTAACACCTGACATTTTTTAAATGCTATGCTAAATCCTTTTACTCTTTGCCAATTAAACTCCTAGTGTCACCGAAAAGGAGCTTCAAATCTCCACATACAAACATAGGTTATCAGCATTTTCTTTGTTTCTTTAACCCTAGTCTCATTATTTTTATATTTTACATTAGAGTTGAACACATCAGGGCAAGTTTTCTTGTAAACTTTGCCTTCTTGTTCCTGCTTTCTTTGAACTCAAGCAAAATTGTGTCAAAAATGGAACTTCAGCCCTTCCTTTTCTCTTCTTCTGTCCCCTGCACTGTTAAACAACACATTCCCCTCTTCACCTTTATCATCAAGATCAGGGAACAGTCAGTTCTTACACTTACAGTCTGTCAAAATCACGCCTGG